GGTGGATCTATATGAACTCTGTTGTACATTTAGAAGAGATTTACTCTAGTCCTGTAGTCTACTTTCCTATTACTTAAAACCCTGCTTCCCAAGTAAAGAGGAAAGGAAGCGCGCACACACACACACACACACACACACAAGCACGCACGTACACAAAGCCTCAGATAATGCCACAGACAAATCATTAATGTGTATTTGGTAAGTTCATTTGAAAAAAAATGGGATCCACTTTAGGAATTTTTCCATGAGTACTACTGATAGAAAATTAGGTTCATCCTTTACTGTCACAGGTAAATCAATATTTTAAAAATATTGCAATATTGCCCTTAAGTTAGCAGGACTTTTTCAGGTGGAAGATTTTTTAAAATATTTACTGTTTAATTAATGTTAATTAATGTTTGACAATAATGAACCTAATAAATGTTTCATATTTGCTTATTGCTTCAGGGCTGTATTTCCCAGGCTTCAGCTAAAGTTACCTGCTCCCTGCCTCCCCCCTCCACCCCCACCTCTCTGTAAAAAAAAAGGAAAAATGTATGCAGTGTTCCTTTAGGGGCTCCTGGGTAATTCAGCCAGTTAAGGGTCCAACTCTTAATTTCAGCTCAGGTCATGATCTCAGGGTGGTGAAATTGAGCCCTGTGTCGGGTTCCCCCTGGGCATGAAGTCTGCTTAAGATTCTCTTTCTCCCTCTCCCTCTGCCCCTCCCCACAAAAATAAACCCAAAAATAACATTGCATGTTCCCTTTACTATTACTTAGTTTAAAATTTTATTAAGATTCATTTACTTATTTATTTACTTATTTATTTAATCAACAAAGACTTTTTGGACTCATATTATGAACTAGGCATTGTTCGAGCCACTTTCAAGTAACTTTCAGTCTTACTCTAAGATATAATACATACGAAATTATAGGTATAATTTTTTTGTGTTTTTCTAATATAAACTGGTATGGCTATATAAATATTAAAAGTGTTTAGAGGTATGTCCTTGTTTCACATGCCACTGATGACCCTTTGGTAAAGAGTGCTTTGGTGTTTAGAAAGCACTTCATTGTCTTTCTAGACTCTCTCAGGGACCCGTGAAGATGTGCACAACCATCCCTATTTTACAGCTGAGGGAGCTGAAGCTCAGCGAAGTAGCGTTCCTAAAGACACAGTGAGCAGTGACAGCAGTTAAGCCAGGCCCCATCCCTGGTCTCCTAACTCTAAGCTTAGTACTCTTTGCACAGTACCATTTCCCCAACAACAGGAGCTGATGACATGAAAAAAGACGTAAAAAAGAAAAGGCGGCTCGAGTTCAGCTGTCGTGCCAGCTGTCCTGCCTCTCTTATGAAACCTGGGATGTGACTTGTACTCTGTCCTTTGACCTTTGTGTGACAGCTTTGCCTCACAACCAAGTAGCAGTCAAGTAAGTCACACAGAAATTCAATCTGTTATCAGGTTTAAAGCCTGCAGGAAACTTTTACATCATCTTTACTTAATGGACTCTATTCAAAAGTGACCTAGGATCTTTGATCCAGGATCTCCTAATACATACTCTCCCTCACTGTCAGAGGGTTGGCTTGGTTCTCTGAAAGCTTTGTGTCTCCCTTTGTCATAGATTTAAGTTACTTCTAAGATAGACTACATGCTACTGTGTTGACCCCAGATCGAACTTAACTAAATTACCAAATTTTAATATGTGCCTTGTGAATAAAATAAGCAACCAGAGATTCAGACTTTTTCAGAAAATTCTTAAACTTCCACCCTATAGGAGCATATTGGTACGTTTCTGGGTATGTTTCTAACCCTACTGAACAGGCCATAGGACTATTTGTGTTGAAGAATTGTGGTACCTAAAGAATGTGAATGAGTGCAAGAGGGTTTTAGAAGTCAAAAAAATATTCAATATGTGTGTATATTTGTACATGAGATAATATGTGAACTACAAATACATATAAATTCTGGCAATTTTTTCTAATCCTTAAATGACATATGTGCAGAGACACATGACCATGTTGGTCATTACTATTAGCATCATCATTATTAGAGCGAGCATTATATGAGAAAAGGTACATTATAAAGTCCTCCCATGATTTCTCACCAAGATAGGAGTTAAGTAATTTATGGAAGTCCTGGCTTCTGAATGTACAGGAATATAAGGTTATAATTACAGATCAAAGTATTAAGTGTTTTAAATTACTTGCTCCTTCGGTGTAAGGTTTATAGAAATATTTGTGTGTTTATCCTCTTAAATGTTACACTGCTGTATTTGATTTCTCAGTACTTTCTTCATTTATAAGTTAGCTAAGTAATTTATGATGGAGTATTCATTAAATCATTAAATATGATTTCTGTTTGACTAGAAATTGAATTTATTTTGTTCTTCTCTAATACCATCTTAGGGGGCAGGAGTATCCTTAAAGAGTTTCTTGAATATTGCGTAAGTGTATGAATAATTCCCTATAAAAAACATATGCTCTTCATATATTTCACAATTCAGGAGCATAGTAAAATTCTGAAACAAAACAAGCTAAACATTTATCTCTGGATATGTATGATCTTATCATATCAGAAATAAACTGTGATGTGTATCTTATCTGTATTTAGTTTCAGAAAGCACCATCATTGCTTTCTTTTTCAAGGTCATTGACTCCTTTATAAATAATATAGTTCATTATAGAGTACCTTACAGACTTAGAGTCAATTTAAATGAAAAAAAAAATCGCAGTAGAGAATTAGTTCAGAAAAATCAGCAGAAAATTATCCAAGCATAAAAAATTTTTAAAGATAATTTTGGGCATATATTATCTAAATTTCTGTAAATATCTAATTTGTTTTAAAATAATTTGACCTAATTTTTTTTTAGTGTGTGTGTGTGTGTGTGTGTGTGTGTGTGTGTAAAATGATTATATACTTCAATGTATATTGTAGTTGGTGTGGTGGAGAGGTTGAGCACTTTGGAGTCAGACTTGAGTTTCAGTGCTGGCCATGTTACTTAAATTCACTGACTCCCATCTGTAAAATAACAAAAATAATACTAGTTTGCACTATTATCATACTAAAGGATAAAAGAGTGCTTTTTCCATAATAAATGCACAAGTAATTTTTTTAAGAAATGTTTTTATTGCCCTTTATTCCTTAATTAAAAATAAAAATTGAAGATTAAAAAAATAGTTTTACCTAACATAGTTTTTAAGAATTAAGACCAGTGAGGTAAGTCTTTATATTGGTCTTGCTTTGTTTCACTATGACTCTTTCTGTTGCTTATATCAATCCCTTCTGAGACCTTTCACTACACTAGTTTGTATCTCCTATAAGTTTATGTTACAAGAGAGCTTCCTTCCTACTGCCAAGGATGGGAGAATCATTTAAATATAAGTGGAATTAGCCATAGATTACATAAATATAATGTGTGAAATATCTTTCATTTTCTCTTCATGTGAATGAATATAAGATGAAACCTCTTTTCTAACATGAAATGTGAGAATGTATCTGGGCACCATTTTTTTTTTTTAAACAACACATGGATATATTCATCTTACTTAAGATTTTCCAATTATTTCAGCAAGACGCTTTTCTTCATGACTTCCATGAAGTGTTATTAGAACAAAATTGTCTCTTGTTCTAGCACACGAGAAATTAGGTATCCCCAGTGAACTGTATATTAGATATTTGCATCCTTCAGGACAAAATACAAAAGTCATGAAAAGGAATATGTTTTCATTATTCTATTGTTTTTCTCATTGAATATTTAGAAATGCCTGTTTTCAAACTTGATAAAGGAAACACTTTGTTACTCACTACTGGGTACTCAATTTGAAGGGGTCAAAGAAAAATTATTTATAAATGATATTCATGAGTTAGGGAGATTTCAAGAGAAAAGAATAATTTCTTTGCTTCTTAGTATTTATTTTCTTAACCATGAGGGATTTGGGCAACCTCTCAAATTTATATATAAAAGAAGCATAGGTTGGGGAAAAAAACTGGGTTAAGCAATGGCTGGGAGACCTGCCTTGAAGCTGTGTTTACACAGCAAGCAACACTGTTTTTACTTAATTTGGGTTTTTTTTTTAAGATCAATAAAAATAGCAATTTCTTTCTTTTTTTTTTTTTTAGCAATGTTCTTCTAAAGGTGTTTTTACTCACAAGTCATATTCAAATTTTCCTATTTATTAATTGTTTATCTTGGAGGGGTGGCTTCAAGAACCATGAGAGAGATTATTGGGGGAAAGTGGCAAAGGCTGCACCTCCCCACCCCTACCAGTGCCCCATCACCATTTGGTGGCCACAGGGTGATGAAGCAGCAAGATTCTTGGCAGTGTTAAAGCGAGAAGGGAATGGATGCACCCTTAAGTTGTAGCCACACCCTCTTCCCTTGACTGGAAGGACTATGGTAGCCTACTTCCCACTCATTTTGTGGCCTGTGCAGAGCCTAATACTACTAGGTAATAATAGTGACTCTCTGCTTAGCTGTGTTCAACCTGATTTGCTGCATTTTGATTATCCCAGCAATTCTAGCCGGAAGGTAGGTATTACTGCCCTCATTTTAAAGAGGAGGAAACTGAGGCCCAGAACATTTGAGTGTTTCATTCATGCTAGAAAGTGAGCAGGTCAGATTCAAACTTCCACCTACTGGCTCCAAAGCCCACCTCCTTCACTAACCACTGCTCTTGTCCTCCCCTGACACAGTACAAATTTGCAGTTACTGAGTATCAGGCAGTAGAGAAAGCAAAGCAGGGATCTCTGATTTATGATTTTGTGAATTGAAGGTTATTTAAAGTCCAGATTTTGTTCTTAAAATGTTATTTTCAAAATGCTGACAGTAGAAAAGTCAGACTATCTTTCATTTCCATTGATGTTACAGCCTGGAGCCACACAGTCAACCTCTGCCTGAGCAAGGACAGGACATTTGACAGGGCAGTGAAAGTTAAGCCTCCCATCCCCCAGCAGGAAAGTAAAAATGCTGTTAACAATTGCAGGTCTGGGTAATATGGTTTGGTCTTCATGCCTTCACTCAGGTGGAGCCCGAGAAGTTGAAGACACTAACAGAAGGTTTAGAAGCCTACAGCCGAGCCCGGAAAAGGAACAGAAAGTAAGCACGAAATTTTTTTTCCCACCATTTTGTTTTTCATGGATATAATTTCCTGGTGTTTGTTCAAAAGAAAATCTCAACTAATTTTGTCCATCTTAGGGCTTACCAAGGACATTTTAGTAGTTATCACCCAAGAAGATCATTATAGTTAAGTCAAATTAGCTATCACAGAAAATATTTTCTTTTCTTAACAATTTGTACTGTGTGTGGGATTTCCCACTTCATGAGCTCTTTCCTCACTCCCTCCACCTCCATCCCTCTCATTTCCTGGGAAAGAAACACTCTCATAGCAATTAAATAATTTCTAAAAGTGTAGCAAGGAGCACCTGGCTGGCTCAGTCAGAAGAACGTGGGACTCTTGATTTTGGAGTCATGAGTTCAAGCCCCTTGTCGGGTACAGAGATCACTAAAATAAATAAATAAATAAATAAATAAATAAAACTTAAAAACAAATAAATAAAAGAGAAAAATAAAAATGTCATTAAAGTCTATCCCTTTGGGAGTAGGAATGGGAGTTACCCCCAACTGTACACAGGTAAATAATTTTGGCAGATTTACTATTAGTCAAAGTGATGGTAAGTAATTCCTTTTTCTTAAGGCAGTAATAACAGGTTTTCTTTGGAATTATAAGAAGAAGTTGTACTTTGAGACACTATTATTCCAGTATTTCTAGATCTTTATATTTTGGGTAATATTGTATGGACAGGTAGATAATGTTTGAAACACAGTTTCCACTGTAATACAATGTAGTTTTGCATATCATAATTATTATTTCATTTTAAGTTAGAGAACTACAAATGTGCTTTTGTATATGCACATGGAAAGTTATTCAAAAATACATATAATTTACATGCCTGTTCAGTTACTAAAATGTTCATATTATCAAACACCCAAGAATTACGAGAATGATTAGTAGTGTATTAGTAGTGTATCTTGCATATATAGTATCAGTAGTATCTATTAGAGAACACTCTTTCTTAGTGGGACAGAGGTGATCTTTCAGAACTCAACAACTCTTGGGGAGATCTTTAGCTCAATAAACTGCCTCACAAAAAGATGCCAACCACAAGAGGTAAACTCCTGTGCCCCTATGCTGGGGACTTCTTTCGAAGGTAGCAAGTTGGCACTGATTGTGGCGATGGCCTAGAGAACTGCTGGATTCTCTACAGAAAAGATAAAGAATATGGTGAGGCCAGCCCCCTCTACTCTGACTATGTAGAGCTTTGTGGTAGGATAAGGCCCAGAAAATTAATACAAGTTCTGGATGAAAGGAGGGAAACTGCAAATTACCTACATCACAAATTTGCAATGGACCACTTGCTATGGAATATTCAACAGTACTTGTTTATTTGACGTAAAAGATCCCAAAGATCTTTCTTCCAGTGAGATATGCCACTTAGCTGAATCATGTGCAAAATATCCAAAATAACTAATAACACAGAAATGAATTAACACTTCCAAATATTTAAATATGCTGCCTTGAAATGAGCTGTATTTTCCCCCATAAATTTGGTATTAATCAATTTCTGAAAGGTAGTAAGTAATAAATAGCAATTTGAAATTATTTTTCTTCTAAGCTAGTTTACTAGTTATGGTGAATTTACATGGGTCCTAAGTGGCGTAGATCTAAAGGAACTGTCATGAAACCATAAACTCAGAATGTGGGTTGGAGATGTAAAAGAAGGAACTAGGAGGCAAATTTTAGTAAAAACAGCCTTATTTGTCATGCTATTGCCTATGCAGACTGACTTGCCTTACAAATGCCCAATAGCATACTTTACATTTTGCATATGCTATTTAAAATCCATTATTTTATTCTCCCAATCACAAAATGAGCTAGAATTAGTAAGCCCATGTATGGATGAGGACACTCAGGCCCAAATAGCTTAAATAATTAGTTGAAAGTCACATGAGTGACAAATGATCCGTTGAACCCATTCATTCATTCATTCATTCATTTATTCATTTAATCATTTAGTTATTCCCCAGTTTAAGGAGACTAATTGAGCAAAAATCTGTCCTGAGTCCCTGGAGCTCACTGTTGAGCCAAGGAGACAGATCCAGAAACAAAATGTTAAAATTGCGATGACAGCAATATGTATAGTACACTTGGGCATCATAGAGAAGTGGCATTAAACTCGGGTACGGGAATACTTTCTAGAGGAGATATCTGAGCTAAGCCATACACACTGGATAGGTATTAGCCAGGCGAAGGAAATAAGGACCAAGATGGCATGGGGTGGGATAGCGTTTAGACACGATCAGCAGTCCGATTTGGGGCACTGTAAAACTTCAGACAGGAAATTTTAAGAGATGCAGCCAAGGTGTAAGCAGCAATCAGGTCATGAAGAGCTTAGTGAGGTCCCAGATGCTCCTTTATCTTATTGGAAGTGCCTGAGGGGACAGGTGGTTAGATTTTCACTTTAGATATGTCTGTATGGAGGATAAATTTTAGGGGAACTGTGTTGGAGACAGGGACATTGTTTAGGAGGCCATGGCAGAAGTCAAGGGACATGAGGACTCAAACCAGAATGGGAGGGATGAGAATGGAGGAGGAGGAATGTACTGTAGAAATATTTAGAAGGTAAAATTCACAGAACGTCGTGGTGATTGATTGGAATATGGAGGGTAAACAATCAAGGAAAATTTCAGGGTTTTACCAGGGTGACTTGGTGTGTGGTAAAACCACTGATTGAAGTGGAGAATACGGGGTGGGGGGGAACTGTTAAGTCACATGGGGTGCCTGTGGACTGTCTGACACTGAGAAGAAGCAGTATTTGACTATGTAAAAATGGCTGTGATCACACAGAGATCCTTTGACCCATTTGAACAGTGGGCCAGGGATTGAACCGCTTGGGCATTTGAACATTTGCTAGAGATAATGAAGACGATGAGAAAAATCAAAAAGGAAGAGAATGGGGGCAAAGGTGGAGGCCAATAGAATAGGATGTTAGAAACCAAAGACCAAAAGCTTCTAGAATGATAAAATGATAAACAGCAGTCCCCTAAGACAAGAACTGAGACATCTCCATTGGACTGGGCGATTTAAAGCCTATTGGCAACCTTAGTGAAAACAGTTTCCAGTGAAGTGGAAGGTGTAAAAACAAAGTGGCCATGTTTGAAGAGCAAATAAATATGGAATAAAGAGAGCTGACATAAATTAATTAGGCTTCTTCCTACCCTTAATATGAAAGTTCCTGAAAAATAACATGAAAATGACAAAGATTTGACTGCTCTTGTAGACAGAAGAAAAGGAGGGAAGAAGCAACTGAAAAAGAAAGGCAGAATTTGGAATAAGATGGTTAAGAGGTTGGTTTGGGGCCAGAGTTCAAATCCTGTTTCCCCCACTTTAGAGCTGTGTGCCATTGTGCATGTTGCTTAACCTCTCTGAGCCTAAATTCTTCATTCCTAAAATGGGTATATTAATATCTACCTCTTAGCATTGTTATAATATAGGTAATTTAAAAAGAGCCTCAACACAGGGGCACCTGGGTGGCTAAGGGGGTTAAAGCCTCTGCCTTCGGCTCAGGTCATGGTCCCAGGGTCCTGGGATCGAGCCCCCATCAGGAGCCTGCTTCCTCCTCTCTCTCTGCCTGCTTCTCTGCCTGCTTGTGATCTCTGTCTGTCAAATAAATAAATAAAATCTTAAAAAAAAAAAAAAAGCCTCAGCACAGTATGTGGCACATGGTAAGTAGTTAGTAAACAGCTATTTTTATTATAAAGATACAGGTGAAGAAAACACAATTATGAGATATTTTTGCCAATTGAAACATTCTACCACCCTATTTAGATGCTTAGAATTTTATGTAGTCATTTTAATTTTCAATATTCTGCAAACTGCACAATAAATATTTTTAAACTGATAAACCTATTACAGCCTAATCACAAAAGAAATACTAACATATATGTATTGAGGTTGTTACTTGGGGTCATTTTATACTTAAAAGAGAAAATAACTTCATTAAAGAAAACATTCCATAGCTTTTAGATTTGTTACGATTTTCACTGAAATGAGGATCAAATCTTCTATCTATACGTGCATATAAACTTAAAAATTGATCATCTGATTTTTGTTAAGCCAGAGAGTGGTAAAGTGATAAAATAAATCATACTTTGAATTTAAAACCGAGAAATTATACTTAGCATGTAAAATTTTTTTTTAATATTTATTTATTTATTAGAGAGAGAGAGAGAGGAAGAGCACACATCTGCGAGCACATGGAGGGGAGAGGCCGAAGGAGAGGGAGAAAATCCCAAGCAGACTTCCTGCTGAGCGTGGAGCCCAGAGTGTGGCTTGGTCCTACAGCCCTGAGACCACGACCTTAGCCAAGACCAAGGGCTGGACACTTAACCAACTGAGCCACCCATTTACCCCAGTGTGTTAAATTTCCTTCAGTCTTCATACTTTCTCCGTGGGTTAGGTTTCAGAATCTAAGATTCTTGACATTTAGGTGTCACGCAAATTGGTTCTGTTCTACATGAAGTGAGTTGCTTAAAGTCTAAACTGACAGCCTAGAGCAACGTGCAGTTTCTCATTTCCTTCATTTCCTGTACCATTCACAGATGTGTACCTGTCTTTTTTCTCAATTAGGGAAGGTAAGGATAATCTGTGACAGTACAGACAGTGAAGAATAGAAGTGCAATTATCTCCATTAATAACTAGAAATGTGATGATATGAACATCTATTGCTTAATCAAGTAGGTTTTAGAGTGTCCATTAGTAAAAATGTTTATTATTAAATGTCAGCAAGGAATCGAAAATAGTGGAAGAGACTCCACAGGGAGGCCCTCGGTACTGCAAGACTGAATTTTGACTAATTATTCGTTTCATGAACTCATGGAAATTTTTCTTCCTTTTTCGAGTTCATTCTTCCCTTACCTGACCAGTTAGTGTAAAAATCAGTCTGCAGCTTTAACACCTGGGAGCGTCTCCTTTTACCTCTTGAATATCCTGATGCATTCAAGTAATTTCATGCCCCACCTCTCTGTATCTATTCTCTCTTCCACAAGTAGTCCTTTCTCCCTCTATTTACGACTTGTTTGTTAAAGGAAAAACACTGTTAATTTAGCTTAAATTAATATAAGCTGTTTACAAACAGTTTAAACACCTTGTTGAAGAATGAGATCACAAAGTCCTAAATTCTTTTTATTCAGCAAATAATATTGAATTATTTTTATACTTTAATGGTGATATTATTGCAATTTTTCATAGGGAAAATTTTTTCATGGCTCTCTGAATTTATTATTTTTAAAAAATTATTTGTAGTTAAATATCCATCTTCTTCATTACCAAATTAGAATTGGTTTTACCAGTTCTCCTAAAAGGTCATGAAGTATTGCGTATAAACAGTTGTCATAATGCCTACCTCATAGGCTTGCTGTTAGGATTGAGATAATGTTTATGAAGATTTAACACAGTTCTTGGCACATTGACTATTTTCAATAAATAGTAGCTATTTTTGCTATTAAGATAAAAGTGAGAAAACCAAAATTCTTTAATGGTTTTTCATTGAAATGTTTTACTTTCATTTTAGACATTGAGTACTTTAAGTAGTTTATTATAAGTCCATAAGATATTATAATAAATATTCATAACATAAATATCTTTTGAAATGTATATTCATACTTTTAAAAGCAAAAGAAATAGTTAAGTTAAATCTATTTAACATATCACTCAAGGTTTAATATTGTTAGGCAACTAGGCAACATGTGATACTGTCAAGACCTTTGCCAAACAGCCCATAAATGGGGCCCCAACCCAACCCCAACCAAGCTTACAGGACCTGCAGAGTCCTGGGATCAGACTGCACCCCTCCACCCCCGCTTCAAGTAATTCAGAATCAGGCATAGCAAAATTTTCACTGGGAAAGCAACTCAGACTGACTGCACCAGATGCTCATGGTCCCTTAAAACTGGAATGGGTAGGTAAATAAAAGAGTGTACAAATAGATTATAATATCAATTTGGACAGTGCTCAGTGCTTGGACAGTGATAAGGGAGAAAGAGCCAAGTTGCAGACTAGTATGTATACCATAACATACCTGATAGACATCTTTGTGTGTATATTAAAAACACACACACATAAAAGACAATACCAGGTACTATTCATGGACATATAAAATATAAAAACAGAGTCATCTGGGTGTCTCAGTCAGTTAAGCGTCTGCCTTTGGCTCAGGTCATGATCTCAGGGTCCAGGGACCAAGCCCTGAGTCAGGCTCCCTGCTCAGTGGGGAGTCTGCTTCTCCCTCTCACCTTGCCCCTCCGCTTGTGTTCTCCCTCAATTTCAAATAAATAAAAATAATAAATAAATAAAATAAAAACTTACTAGAAAGATACACAACACAGTTGTCTTTGGGGAAGAGGGGAGGAGAGAATGGGACTAGGAATTGATGACAAATGGGAATTTCAGCTTTTTTTTTTTTTTTTTGGTAAAAAAGACTTAAAGGAGGTAGGTAATTTATTATCAGTTTATTCTTGGAGGTGGGTTTGTTAGGGGTTAATTTATTCTGTGCACTTTTCTGCATTGCTTATATCTCTAAAAATAAGTGGGAAGAATGTAAAAGCTAGAAGCTGGCTTACAGGCCAGCAAAAGGTGAGAGGAAGGAGTTGGTGCTGTATTTCCCACATAATTTAGTTAAAAGCATTCCATTAACCTTTTTTTTTTTCTTCAGTTAAAATGACTTAAATTCATATATGTTTCCCAAAATATCGAGACATCATGTTAGCTTTGGACAAAATTTTTAGTAAATATGTGGAGCATGCATGATGTTCCTGGCAGTATACTCCTCAGGGTGTACACAGAAACTAAGTGTGTGAATTGTCCAGTCCGGCGTATGAGGGTAAAACCTGGTGGGGGCTATGGTAAACCGAAAGGCCTCATCTAAAGGCATTCCACTAAAGTTCAAATATATTTTTAAACACGATGTGAGCCAAACTAAATGGGACTATGAGCCAAATTCCTCCACAACTGCAAATTTCCAATCTCCGTGTAGGTGCTAAGGTGGGACTTAACTCTTGGAGAACCATGCTGACAGCCTGTTCTGAAAAGGTTTATCTCTGCACCTTTTCTAGTAATTGCCGTGACAAGGGGAATGAAATGAATCACCTTAGTACTCAGAATAACTGGGTCATTATTTATACACATAAAAAAGGAAAAAATAAGTTATGGTAGACGAAGGGTGCAAAACTACAGAAGGAGATAAGATAATATGGATTTGCCTGATTTTAAGTAGTTAGTTCAACAACTTCCTATGGTTTCAATAGTGGCAGATGTACTGTTTTTTATTATTCGGACCACACGTGCGTAATGCTGAGTAGCAAAAAAAATTCAGACGAGTGATAGATACTCTGAGAGAGTCATTCTTTATCTGTTCAAATACTTAAGTTATTTTAGTTTGGGGGAAAATGCGGTGGGCCCGGGCATGGAGGGAGCCTTGGGCATGACAAGCGAAGCTGTTGCCCACCCAGAGCAGGCAACGTGCGTACTCAGGCACACCAGATTCAGCCTTCACTTGCTCAACTCTGGAAGCTAGGACGCGCGAGAGAGGGCAGAGGGAGCTCCCTAGTGGCCAGAGTCTGCAGTTCAGTCCCTCCACCCTTCGCGGCGGCACGGCCCGGCTGCCTGAAAGCCAAGCCAGAACAAGAGGCAATGCAGGGCAGGCTGGGATCCTGGAGGACAAGCTGCATCTGTGGGGAAGATGACCCATGGCCCAGTTTTCTTGCAAAAACATCAGACGGGGAAAGAAGCGTGTGGTGGGGAAAGAATCCGTGGTCCCCTCTCATGTGTTCCATTTTTTTGTTGTTCAGTGACTTTATTATTAGTATTCAGTGGTGAGAATCCTGGAGCGTTTGTCATCTGACTTTTTTCAAATGTAAATATAAATTGACTTTCTCTGGTGGAATTGGTACTTCTGTTTTCTGAGTAGGGGATTAAATTGAGACTGATGTGTTATTTATTAATCTGGTGTGTTATTTTCATTAATTCCAGAGGTGGAAAGCTAAATAACCATTTAGAAGCTGCTATCCATGAGGCCATGAGTGAACTGGACAAAATGTCTGGGACAGTAAGTTAATTTATTTTTCCATTATACTGTGTTTCTTTGAAAATAAATTGTATTGCACTTTTTGGTAAAGTCTCTTAAATATTGACAAGCAAGTCACATATCAATACTAAATTACTAAGCTCAAGAAAAGACTGATGTCAGAGAAAATTTAAAGTAATTTAAGACAAAAATAACCTCGTAGTATTAACTATGTCTTTTTTCTGAGATAACTTTTGTTTTTCACACGTAACATACTTCCCAAAATGTGAGCAGCAAAATATTTGAGTTCAAACCACCGGTTTCTGCATTTGACTCTGAATAACAGTGGCCACTAGTGCTGCCTAAATAGTCAATAATGCAAATTTTGCTTTTTCCATAAAACAAAAAAAAAAGGGGAATTGAACAATCGGGTCAAGATCAAGAGTAAACAGAACTCTCATTTCCTTTCCACTGTTACCTAAGAAGGAAAATACTTGGCACAAAATCCCATTGTTAAATTATTGAACACTGTAACCTCTCGTTTTTGAGACACATTTTTACTGAACTGTTCATACAATAGTATTGAATGTGAGAAGTTTAATCATTGTCCTCTAATTCATGTATTGGCTCGTGTAAACACTCAAAGTATAATTTTGGTAATTTCTTTAAAAAATGTAAATTATCTAAGGCTATTCAGCAATGAAAGCTAATTTCCTTTTTTCTATTCAACACTTTGTGTTAACAAGTTTATCTGGATCCTAACAACCCATTCAGTGGCTACTGATTGGCAGATATAGGTTATAGATTCACAGAATGTTGGCGCTGGCATGGGCTATAGAGATTCTGTGATCCAACCACTCCTTTTCCCGATGGATGAATTAAGAACCTAAGATATTAAATGTCCTGATAGAATTTAGGAAAGTTCCAAAGCAGAAATTATACATTTAAACGCCTTCTAAGACCAGGCAAATACTATGAGTAAGTAAAGTGGGTCAGGTGTGAGAAAAACAGCAAGTCAAGGGGACTGAGAAGTGCCAACCAAGAGGTCAGGGTAGGCTGCCTTAGAGGCACAACATGTAAAGGCATTGCTCACTTCAGTCTGGTGCTAGCTGGGGAAGGGCTTCCTGCACACAGTCATTCAGAGACTCGGGTTCTTTCTCCATCTAGTGTCCACCACTCCTTAAAGCCTCAGAGTGCTCCTTCATGTCACTTGCATCCACCCAGCAGGTGGGAGAAGAATATAAGCAAAGGGCTGCACTCCAGCTGATTTTCCTCTGGTCTGACCCCATCACATGGCTTTCTTAACTCAAATGGACTAGGAAATGTAATAGACGGTGTGCCTGTTCAGGAAGAAGAGAAAATGGGTTTGGTGAGCACCTTGCTGGTCTTTGCTGCGGGACATTTGGCCTTTGTGGCCAATAGGCAGTCAGGACTGGTGGAAATTGTGGCAACCTAGAGTCCATGCTCTCTCCCGGAGGAGCTCCTTCTCCCACACTCCAGCAGATCTCAACTGTATGAGAAATTACGCCAGAGTTGCAAGCTCTTCCAATTTTTCGTAAGACGCTAAAAGTCTGGAAGTAAAATCCACCCCCCCCTTTTTTTTACCATTGACAATGATTTTTTAAACATTAAAGCATCATACAGCTAAACAAAATATCTTTACAGGACATATTTGGTCCACAGATTACGAAGACTTGTTTGCAGTCTTAGATAAAGTCTTCTTTCCTCAATTTTAACAAGTTTTCAGTTATGGCTCTTCACCAGAAACTAGTGGTTTTAAGAGATGTATATGGACAGTTAGGAGGAAGAGACAGTTTGAGAAACTTATAAACGTTACTTTTCAAAATTTAATTATTTCAAAGCTTTTTGCATTTGACTTTGAATAGCATTGGCCTTTGCTGTTACCTAAACATTATTTTTAAAATGTACAATTAAGCCAACTTGTAGTGGACCTTGAGAACTGATTGGGCATGTCTCCTAACTATGAGTTCTGCGACATTATGATGGTAGCTTTGAAATTGGCTGTGGTGGAAGTTTTTACACCATGGAAATTGGCAAATGCTACAATAGGCTTGTGTCCTTCCACAGGGAGCTGGTTGTTAAGCATTAGCTATACCACTGCCTCAGGACTAGCCTGCATTACCTGGGTCTTGACCTTGCCCTCTCCTATCAGTAGCCACATACAATGTGGGGCACCAGATCACTTCCCTGGCACCTGTCCTCTGCCCCTCAGAACCATACCTGCTCTCTGATATCTGGCAATCATGCCCTGCCATGTTCCTACTGTAGTGAGTAGGGCCGTGTATCAGATCGACCTGATACACGGCCCTACTCACTACAGTTTCTGCATTAGCATATAAAGATGACTTGTACTACTCGCTCCTCCGAGACTATACAAGCTCAGATCCGCCAACAGATGGTAGTGGTATTCTCTTTTTCACTCCAAGTCTTCTCACGAATAAACTTCCTTGGGCTGAGCTATGCACGTGTTCTTACCATCTTTGACCCTTCTTAGTAGTTGTAAAATAAGTCGGGTGACGAAGGAAAGAAGAAAACATGTTTGGTATGTATTTTTCCACTTTTCTAGACTTTACTGAAATTGGTGATCTAGGGATCGCTAACAGGAAAGGCTTTATTTCGGTCTTAAATGGGCAGCAGGGGTAGCAATGGCACACTGCATTTCCTACACTTGATTTTCTCCGGTTCCTCCTTGGAGTCCCACTGTTTATCAGGTTCCCGCAGTGTTGTTCTGCTGATCAGCTCCTAGGATTCCTCCTTCTCTGTAGTGACTGGGGACACACTGAGATCTGGGGTCTTGACAGAAAATGTAAATGCCTCATGATATCAGTGATTGAGAAGGAAAGGTGGACTCTCTTTCCTCCCCCATTTCTTTGTCAGAAATCATACGGTGTTTGTACTTTCAACCTCTGTTGTTGTTTTTTTCCACCTCTTTATTTCCAGGTTCACCAAATCCCACAGGGAGACAGACAAATGAGACCCCCCAAACCCAAGAGGAGGAAGATCTCCAGATAACAGGGACTACTCCACCAATGCGCAGTGTTGAGTAAAGGAACGTGCACAGATAAATCTATCTATAGATAGGTATTGATATGGCCACTGTTATATCAGTATTTATACCACAGCAGATCGCTACCACCACCCCAGGGTGCTAAAAGAAGCAGTGACACAGTATTTTTTTGAACAGGAAGGATAATGAAGGCTGGAAAACCAATCAAAATCCCTGACTGATGAGAGTGAGAAACGGTCAAGAGATTACTGAGAAACTTTTTCTATAATACTAAAATTGTGATTATAAGAAATGTCCAAATGTTTCGGAAGACTTTTCAGTGTTGTATATAGAAAATACAGAATTTCACGGTGATATCAGAAGTGTAAATATTGTACAATATTGTCATGTACAAGCGTACCTAATGCACACTCTATCTTTTATTGTACAAAGAAATAGTGTACAAAATTCTTTGGTTTCTATGGAGTACACCTACCAGAGACTACCAGTGTAAAGTGATAAATAAAAATACAACCTAAATGCTTTTCTATGATAATGTAACAGATGCTGTTTTTGTATTTAACAGCAAAGAAAAGGCATGATGATGTATTAGCTGAATGATGACATACACTGCACACCACCGAGTGTCCATTTATATTGTCTGTTTGGAATGAACCTTGCCTGGCAGCACTGGACTCGATTTTGGGTGCCTAGGAAATCAAAACCTTGCCGATTTCTAAAGGGATGAGGGCTCACAGGTCTAAATTAAGAATTCAGAAACTGCAACCATTTGTTGCATATTTTTTTTACCTAAGTTTTAAAGTAGAATAGGTTTTATAAAAAAAATCTTAGATGGAATATTTTACTCAGTCATTTCTGTAGCTAACGTTTGATAGCCACCTACTGATCTAGCTAGCTTATGCTGCACCACCATTGACGCGCAGAGTGGGATTTGTTTGCAGACCGTACCTGACAATGTAAAACTCTCTGTTTCCATACATGGAGGCAAAAGCCCCACTTCGAAACCATTATCAGAGGTAAGGTTGATTATAATTCAGTTTTTCTGTAGTGGCAAGAAGACATAGGAATCATCAAAGCAGGTTTCATAGCCATTCATCATATTACTCACACCGGAAGTGAAGGTGGCTTACAAAATTATTAGCAATGGTAATTTTTTATCAGTATTATGTAACATATCAGATTTATTTTATTTAAAGAATTATTTATACCATTAACAGATTCTTATATATATTAATGTGGCTGAAATGTGCAGGTTAAATCTATTAACCAAATTATTTATATTATATTAAGTAAGAAAAAAATGTGAAACAAATGTAGAGAGAAAATACTACATTACAAGTATACAAACCTAAAACTGTGAGCCATTGTAAAGTACAAGGTTATTAATAAGAAATGTAGCACAACATAATTTTCCGTCTTTTTTTCACAATTTTTGTGGTGGTGGTCTAACCCTATCTCCCATGCACTTGAGTGAAGTTTCCAACCTCCAGCCTGACTTCCACTGATGGATTGTCAAAAGAAGGGGATCCATTATCCCTTTATTCTTAGAATCACCAGCCCCCCCCCCCCAAAGCTTTCAACCCCCTCAAGGGCACTTGCTACCTTGTCCCCTAGCCTAGGGCTCACTCAACCGCTTAAAGCTCCAGTCACTGGGAGCCTTTCAATAGCAGGCTCTGGATCCCCAAATGCCCACCACCTCTGTTATCCCTCCTCTCTCATCCACCCCCCATACTCAGTCCCACAATGTAGCAGAGTTCCAGTAACTCAGGAAAAAGGAGACCAAGGTCATTCTTCCAGCTGGTTTCTTGGGGCCACAGCACAGAGCACTCCACCTGGGCTCACTGTTGATAGTAACAGCTCTAGATCTTCCCCCGGTCTCCTGTGTCTCACTGTCCTTCCACTCCTACCCACACCCCTACCCCCAAGCCTGATGGAATGCAACTGGCTACCCCAGGCTTCTCGGCCTGGAGGCGGGAACCCTTCCTTCTGGGGGTAGGTTCATTGTGTCTTTCATGTAACCTTGGGATTGCCTGCCAGCCGTTCATGCACTCACCCCGAGTCATCTTTTGTGTAGGTTAGTCGATACATCTTGTGTGTTTGATATGTTTAAACCAGAAACGTTCCCCCCCGCCCACCACCTGCTTTTCTACTGTTTCATCTACAGGTTGTTTTTAGTCCCAGGTAGACGCATATGCGTGTTTGTATGTTGCAGTGTCTACATATGTGTGTGTGTCTGTGTGTGCGTGTTGATATGTAGAAGTTTTTTTAGCCCTTGCTGTTTGTCCTTAGACTGAGTCTGTGTCCACCTAGTCTTCTTTTAGATAGTTGAAGCTAATTAGGTGTGTGCTTCCCCACCAATGTGTACTTTACATCCGTAAGCCATGTAAAGTATGTTTGTGCCCATGATTTCACTGGTTGCTTATGGCTTTGACGTGGATCTAGGTATTGTTGTTTTAGTCCACATGTTTTTTTTTCCCCCCTCTCTTTTACAGTTCTATGGTTTTGTGTAAGCAGTTAATGTAAATATTGTTAGCATTACAGGTCATGCAGTGCTGTAACATTTTTTTAAATGTTGCACCTACTTTACAATTAAAAAATTGGTCACTCATACTTGAATTTTGCCCACAGAGCCATTTCTTTCTCTTTGTATTGAAGCCAATTCATTTTTTAAAAATGAAGGCTAGCCCTTTTACAGTATTACATTTTTTTTATTCCCTAAAATAAACAAACTCTTTTTTTTTTCCCAACAAATCTGACAATGTAATGAAAAATTTTTGCTCTTTTAGAAAACATAATATCCCTCTTGGAAAAGAAAATCTAATTTTATGTTGTGTCCCTTAACAGTCTTAGGAAGCACAAGGAGAATGAACTACACCTTTTAGAGTTTTTAAAGATTATTTCAAATGAATGAAAATTAACTGAGTGGCTCTTGTTTCATTTATAGCATTAAAAGCTATCAGGGTTTTTATTTATTTAAAGGAATATTTTTGGTTTGTAGTTTTCAGTCTCATTGTGAATGTAAATGCTTTAAGAATATTCATTCCTTGTGAGATCATGGGCCACTTTTAGTCTTGTATTTGGACCCTGACTTTGAGTTATTTGCTGTGTCTATTTTTCAAATAAACACAATCCTTTTTTTTTTTTTAACATAACCCTGCAAAATTGTGGGAACAGCAGAGGGCTGATATTTTGCTTTCTGTAAGTTTTACGAAGATTCCCAATTGACATATCCCAGGAGGTGATTCCTTTTTCATTTCAGACCATGATAACACATTGTAGTTAACTTTGGTAATTTTCTCTGCAGTTTGCAACGTGTCCTTGTAAGTCACAAGTGGTTTTGCACTGAGATTTTAAAAATCTAAGATGCTTAAGATGCTGGTGACATTGCTCTTTCTGACAAGAAAGCCAAGATTCTAGACCTTACTGAAAATCTGATACCTTGTTTACTTTGCCCATTTATGCCCAAATGGTGTAACACGAGTCTCAAGACTTTTCAATGTAGCATATAAAATGAGTTGTGCATTACTTGATTCATTTGGGGGCTATGAAAAAATAATATCAACCAGCCAGAACTGTAATGTTGAATTAATTTATCTTTTTCTTTCATTCACTCTATCACATTTGCATTAGCCAAAGAGATAAGAACATTAGTAATTCATACGTGTAAACAACCCAGAAGTGAATAATAAATCAGTGAGCCAAAAAGCAATAAACAACTCAAGCATGGGAAATCCTGCTAACAGTGGGAAGTCTGATACAGAAAAAATATATAAAAAGCATTATCTTCAAATATGAAAGATTAATTTGTATCTACTGTAAATATGTATTATCAGCCTTATCTGCTTTTATACACACTGTGTGTGTACTTGAGCGACCTTTTATAAACCGGAAAAATGGTTGATTTAATAATTTGTTATGTAAATACAAAGTTGTCTATAAATTGGAAAATTTGATGCCAGATGGCTTCATAATATACAAATGTGTTTTGTAACATCATGCCTTTATGGATTAAGTATAAATACACTGGATTGTCTGTGTAGAAGAGTAGCAACTTACATTTCACCTGCCTTTCAAGTGGATATTTTTGTCCAAATGGTTATCTTCTTAGGAAACAAAAAATGACCTGAACGTGTTCAATATGAAAAACAAATATGGTTTTGAATTCACCCAAAACTTTTCACACTCAAGGGTCCGTTCAATTCCATACTAAATGCCACTTATTGTATTTCTGTAGGAGATTCTTTGGTTCAGGACTGGAGTCTATCCAGTAAACCTCCCAAATGGAATTATTCTACTTTAGAAAAAGGCTGTGCATCTTAATTTCTAAATCATAGGCTGGGGGGGGGGGGCGGAAACACAGCCTTCATACTTCTTTTTATTTTTATTTTATTTTTACAATATTTTATTTATTTATTTGACAGAGAGAGACACAGCGAGAGAGGGGAACACAAGCAGGGGAAGTGGTAGAGGGAGAAGCAGGCTCCCCTCAGAGCAAGGAGTCCGATGCGGGGGTTGATCCCAGGACCCTGGGATCATGACCTTAGCCGAAGGCAGATGCCTAATGACTAAGCCACCCAGTCACCCCCTTTTCACCACTTTTTGTTTTTTTCTGCTTTGTTTCCACATATCTTGGAAAGCACTACACAGATAAACAGGGCCTAGTTCTTGTGCACCAAGGTGTCTACAGAATGATCTCAATGCAGGGCTCCTCAATCTAGCACTATTGACATTTTAGGTGAGATCATTCCCTGTTGTGGGGGTTGTCCTGTGCATTCTAGGGTCTTTGGCAGCCTCCCTTGTCTCTACCCATCACATACTAGTAGCATCCCTTCCAAATTGTGACAATCAAAAATGATGCTAGACATTGCCTAATGTCTCCTGGGCAGGGGGAGGGGAGAGGGACAGGGATTAGGATGGGGGGGAGGGGACAAAGTGAGACTTGAAAACCACTGCCTTAATGGAATCAGTTAGGAAACATATGCCTGTGTGAAATACTGGCATGTTTTGCATGCTGTAATCAACAGGAAACTGATTCCTAGATCAAAATCCAAAACAAAATCCAATCCAACGTAGTGCTTCTCAGTCCATCATTAAGGAAGAGAATCTGTTAGCTTCAGTTTCATTCTGAGCACATTTGACACTTTTGATCATGAGACCCAAGACAGTCATGTTTTGGGAAATCCCATGTAGGGCTTAGGAAAGTTATCTAAATATCCTTGTTTGGTTTACAAGAAGACTAATGGCCCCCTTCAGATGTGTGTAAGGGGCTTCTGTGACGAAAGTTTTCTCAACAATAGTAGAGTTGCCTGCCTTGGGTCAAAATGAGGACTTTGGCTGCAGAGTACCATGCTATGTATATATTTTAATAGGTCTCTACAACAGCTGGTTCAGGTAGCAGTTCTTGCTTGATCCTCCTGTAAGTTCTGGTGGAAACAGTTCGGTCGATCTTGGAGATATCCTTCTCTATTCATTCATATAATAAATGTTCTTGAATTCCTCTCTATGCCACACCCAGTGCGCAGCTGTAGGGATACA